TGACTTAGTCAAAATCATTTCCGAAATTATGCAAGATCACAGAATGCCCACGCAGTTTGTTAAAAATGCATGCTTCGGTCAGCACACCAGTCTCTTTCGCTCTGTGATGCTCTGCCTCTATGCAAGCAAAGAGTAGCTCCATTGGATTGGGAGGATAGTTCCATATTAGTAGCTTAATAAAGTATTCAGGTGGAAAAATGAAGTGATATCATGCACCCAAATTGCATCATTGAACGAAAGGGAAACATTATGTCATGTAATATAACATCCGGGGTTTTAAGTTTTAGCTCGAAGGGAATGGTGACGAGCATTATTTATAGACTCTTCCGCAGTCCCCTGCTCGGCTTTTGGTCTTCTCGCAGTGRGACTGTAACGGTAGAATGATAGCGTATTTCTGATTGGCTGATAGATCTACTATTCTAAGCTACTTGCCCATTGGTCGGTGTTTTTTTGCCTTCAAAACATCACAATGCAGAGTATAATAGAACGAAATTTACTTCTTAAATTATCAGTTGTGGAGGTGAACAAGCGAAATACATTTCGCACGATCGAGTGGCTAAAGCCAAAACAAAGCGATTGTGTTTTAGCTAGCGCTGAAGGTAGAGATATCCTCGGTAAGTTCACATTTCTTCACAGATCTACAATCGATTGAAGCTCATTTTATAGTTTAAGTTTGTTTTCATTGAAGCATTTATAAGTTTGATTCTTTTAGGTATAATGCCAACAGGATACGGTAAAACTCTTTTGTTCGAACTGATTCCGATATTCAACCAGTTATATCAYAATAATCCTCTGCCTTCGAAGTCCATCATAATAAGCCCATTAAATGCAATCATACTACAGCAAAAGGCAAGTCTGGGAGATGCTTCATGCATTCTTAAAACATGTAAGTTAAATGTACTATATTTTAAAGTAGAAGAGGTTTAAAAAGAAAGGCTTTCATGAAATGTCGTTTCACTTTGTACCAACAACTATTTCTTTTCTACATGTTTGTAGACTATGACCAAGAAAACGATGATATCGGCGATGAAAAAGATGATGATCAAGAAACAGAAAATGAAAGTTTRAACCTGTTGGATAAATACCAGTACATATTAGGCCATCCAGAGGATTTCTTGGAAACAAAAACAATGAGACTTCTTAGGTCTGTGAAATGGGCAAAACATGTGCAACATATTTTTGTTGATGAAAGTCATTGTTCTGTACAATGGTCTGAAAATTTCAGACCAAAGTACAAAGACATTGACCAGCTAAKGGCAGTCTTCCCTAATGCAAAAATTGTTGCAGTGACTGCCACTGCAAGCCCARAGATGCAACAAGAAATATTCAGAATCTTAAACATGAAATCTGCACCTAAGATCATTAGCGCACATGTTGACAGAGCTAACATCAAATACTCAGCAAAAACAAGGCCATCTCATTCTGGAAWAGGCCATGGCATTGAACAGTCTTTTTCCAGCATTTTTCTACCATACATTGAGGAACTGAAAAGCAAAGGCATGGCATTCCCAAAAACCATAGYGTACTGTGGCTTAAAATGGTGTGGGTTTGCAAATGACTTGGGTGTGTACACTCTGAGTAATGGGGATGTTTCCTCCATTGCAATYCCAGAAATAGCTCAATTTCATGCACCATTGTCATCCCAGGTAAAGTCCATTTTGAAGTTCAAATTCCATGATTCTAATACCATTGACAGTCTACTGCATGTACAAACTTATCTCATGTGCTTGATTTCTTTCAGAGGAAAGGTGACATATTGACAAAAATCAAGAGTCCAGATAGTGAAATACGACTTTTATTTGCTACTGAAGCCTTTGGTATGGGAGTTGACTCATCAGACATAAGAAGAGTTATCCATGCAGGACCACCATGCACTTTGGAGAGTAAGAAAACATTTCTGCAATTTTTTTTATTATTATTTTGCAAGCCAATAATAGAAATTTGGGCCTAATAATTGACGAGCTAACTAAACATACTTCTCATTAAAATGGACAMGAAAACAATACAGTACAATAATATTTAAGATGTTTTTCTTCAATTTGTAGTGTTTTCTTAATATATTGTAAATAGCTATATATTATTAATACACCTACTTGCAAAAACGTTGTCATCAAAAAATAGGACATTTGTATTTTAGTAAAAAGGAATGAATTATAAAGACAAAAGAAGATCACTGAGGCTGAACGCTTTCTTTTGTTTTGATTTAATTTATTCCTTTTTACTAAATTCGAATGTTCTATTTTCTATGACAACGTTTCTGCAAGTAGGTGTATATCATTTATTTTAGGTTTTCTTATATTATGATTTTTATTTAGTTCCATGATAAGTGCATTTGGGCAATTTGGAAAATGCACTTTATAAATTATTATTATTAKTAGTATATTATTGTTATTAGTATATAACACATTTTCATAGCAATTAAATTTTTTTATAATTTTTGTTTTTGCCAATTAGCATATAGTCAAGAGACAGGGCGTGCAGGACGTGATGGAAACCCAGCACAAGCAATTCTCTACTACAACAATGAAGATCTAGGTAAACAAAATGTCACTCCGGAAGTTAAGGAGTACTGCAGATTGAAGACCTGCAGAAGGAAATATTTGGCTATTTACTTTGGAGACACATATGTGGTTGAAAACGTTGTTCTTCACAATTGTTGTGACAACTGCGCAAGTGCTTGTGAGTGTAACATCTGCAACAACGCCGTTTCATCAGAGCTTGAAGCAGAACTTCTAAAACCTTTTCATGACGAATCGACAACAGCAACAGTTCATTCAGCTTTGAAGCAGTATTTTGATGCTGTTAATGCTATAAAAGAAAAAGAGTTCCCACTTGATGTAACCCTATACACTGGCTTGACAAATGATCTGCTGGTTGATATATCAGAGAACTATGAATACTTTAAGTCAATTGACATCCTTTCTGTAAGATATCCACATGTTGACTCAGAATATACAACACAGATTATAAACATTATTAACCATTTCAGAGGAGATAATTAAGTAAGACTATGAAAAAGTGTGAAACACTAATTACTAAATTGTACAAAATAGTGCTAGTTGGACAATGGAAAACAATAGCATTTGCATAAAATAGTACAATTAAATATTATTACTAATGTTTCACACTTTTACTAAAAGCACTCGCTTGTTTATGCTAATATCAAGGCTTTATGACACATTCTTCATTCAATTTCCTAAACTTCTACCATGAATGGGTGTGCGATGTCTAACCCACGTGAGAAAATGATCAGAATCAAGAAGTTGTAGTAATGAACACTTAACAGTTTTGAAATGTGCATGTGTTCGTCCAGGAATACACTGAAATGGTGATATGCCTCTCAAATCATCTATCATGCTTTGTTCATCAGGAAGTTTTGATGAAGTTCCATGGTTGGAAGTTCTTACAACTACACTTGCAGTTTTATCATAATGCTCAGCGATATCGCTAATTCCTGCTAGTGCACATGTATGCCTCTCTATGTTGGCATCTGTTTTGTTGCTAACCATGTGTTTGAGGTGTTCTTTGTATTTTCTTACGATGTATTCCATTTGTAAATCAACGGGTATGTGCGAATCAATATGTCCCTGTGTGTTCACAAACATAGCATAAAACATTTCAACTGCTTCTCTTTCTGATAATGTACAAGTTTGATGTATCAGGAACCGCAGTATTTCATCAGCATACTTAGACAAATTATTGTCAACTTTCAGTAGGACCATCATTAACTTCAATGTTCTCAGCATTCTGTCTCTATTTGGTACCTACGTGTATTAAGTTAATGAAAAAAACACATTTCAATTATTTATCAAAGTCTKGTAACAGTGTTTTGGTTATCATATCACTCACAGGAGTGCTTTCATCTTTTTGCTTTTTTTCATCTTTCTGTGAGTTTCACTTCACATTGTCATCAATCAATGAGGTAAAGATTTAGTTCTCACCTTAATGGTACTGACCAAATTTTTATATAATAATCCAAGCTCAAGGACAAGGTGGGCATAGTCAGTCTGTTTATCTGGTTTAACGGGTGGTGTCTTGGTAATTTCATTGGTGGGGAGTTTAAGAATAATCTTCAAATGAGTTCCATCAGGAAGCTTTGCATAAATGCAGTCAGGTTGTCTATCTAAAAGAACATTACAAGCCAAAAAAAATAATAAATAACATGCAACAACAAATGATAAATCAAAATATAATAGAGGTATATACTTTGCCAATTCTGTATTTGAATATAATATTRCAATGTATGAATGTTGCAATTCTTATATGTGTTAAAAGTTATGGTTATTATCAAAAGWGTTTTCCATGTAAAAGTAAAAAGTGAACCCTYACCTGTACCTTGCCAATTCATATCAATATGACTTGRTCAGTAAAGAAAGATGTCTTACCTGCACATGGTTGCTTTACAGTTTCRAAGTCATGAACACTTGCTGCTGAAAGAATAATAAACAAATGCCACCAGACAAGAGTGTTAGGTGGAACTTTCGTTCCAACACAATATTTGCAGTTGTATAGCTAGTAGTATTTACAAAACAAGTATTAAATTAGTATTATTTTTAATAACAAAACAATATATTATTTTGAACAGTAACACAACAATTAATATAATTGTGATAACTCAACATCTTTGATGTTTGTGACAAGTCATACTGCTTCCTTTCTGACAATGAAAAAATAATAAAGTAAAAACTTACTTCCTYCATTTTGATTTCAAACCAGTAAATACACTCTCTGTGGTTATATGACGTCCATGAAAGTTATGCAAACTTATAACTATTAAGAATAAATATTAAGGGCAGTTTTGTTATGTAATCAGATGTTAGAATGATCTGAGGTTAATAAATAAATGTGCCATATTACTTTGTTAAATCAATTAAATCTTTATTTTATATTTATTAATTTTATTAAGAATATTGCTYTAAAATACATATTCGTTAGCTCTTATTAAACCAACTAGAAATTTTCCAGTCATASCATTCCTAAAATATGTAAATACCACAATAATATAAACTGTACAGTTTTTGAAAAACATKTATTTTTAAGATAATGAGAAAAGAATAAGGAGGTAGCAGCAAAGGAGGAAACTTAAGGAGGAATAAAGTCAATACAGCCTCTGTAAAGAAAAACAGCAAATTTGTTATAAATCTGAAATYAACAATGCACGTTTAACTGAAATCAAAAGAGGCAAGGGCGTTTTTAATTKTTGAGCCTCTGTAAATAAGAATTGCATATGAAAATGAAAGTTTACTCCCTGTGAACCATAAAACATCAGTCACTTGTGTATTTTTAAGATAAGAAGAAAAGAATAAGGAGGTAGCAGCAAGGTGTTGAAACTAAAGTAGGAATAATGTCAATACAGCCTCTGTAAATAAAAAAAAATTGTTAAAAATCTTCAATCATCAATGAATGAAACTGAAAATTAAAGAGGAAAAGGGTGTTTTAAATTATTGTTTACTCCATGTAAATATTTGTTGCAGTACCTTTCTTTTTGTAAACAAATGTTCCCACACAGTTMCTCAACATTGACTTGAAATGTTCCTCTGCCCAAGAAAGACACTCATTCTTGTCCACTGGTGCCTGTTTATTTGAAGGAACAGCATTGGTGTTGGCAAGCTCAAAGTAGTTGCAGATCATCTCAACAATGTATGAATCAACAAAAGAAATGAAGAATTCTTTATCTGCACTGTAATTATCCTTCACACTTGCATTTACACTATGACGCTGTATCCTAATTTGCTCTGCCCTCATAGTTCCAATTTCTTGGCCACTCTCCATATTAAAAAGGTGCTTGAAGGGTAGAGCAAGGAACTTCATGTCCAAGTGAAAAAATTCACTTGTTATTGGAGTTAGATRTTGAAAACGGTCTTCTTCATTGTGAGAACCAATCATCAATCGCTTTGCACCTGAAAATCTTTCTCTGGTGAGCTGATCCCCACCAATGTGAACTTTGGTTGTTGAGTTAACTTGATTTCCAGCCTTTTCAAACATGGACTTAACAGTGYTTTCATAACTTTTAAGGATATCAACAACATCACCATATTCTTGTTCATTTTTCGGTAAGACACTCAATGGCACCACAAGGGTTTTGCTAAGCAGTTGGTTGCAGTTGGCATCTGTTAGATGTTTTGGAAGTAGCTCTTTTAAAAATTTAAAGTAAGTCAAGTGTTCAGCGGCTACTTTCATTGACATGTACACATAGTCATCCAACAAATTATCCATATCAGTACACGAAGGCAGGACGTCTTTTGGTGTTAGAGTTTTGTAATCCTTCTGCGGTTTATCTGCAGGTAATGATGGGAATTCATGGTTATGTGCTAAGACTGCTGATCCAAAGTAATGACACATCTTTGCATGATGGTTCTTTCTTTCGTCTCTTACTGACACTTTAAAATTCACATTATCTCCCACCAATCGAATTCTTTTTCTTGATTTTATDGCATCAATTATCTTTGAGTTGAAGTCACCTTTTATGCTATCCAACAGGCCAAGGCTGGCACTGTATGAAAGACAAACCCCAAGATGGTTCAATCGGTCAAATACCTATAGATGTCAAATAAAAATAAAATAAAATCTATATAAAACTACACATAAAAAATACTCCTCCATGGTTATATTTATATTCAATTTAAAAATGGTTTTCAAATAATGATTTTCACGCCATTGTTAAAAAGTTCAAATACCTTAACATTACAAAGGGTATCTGTGAGAAGTGAAGACACAATTCTTTGCAGCAGTGATAACTTCTTGTTTCGAGTCTAGGGTGAGATGGTAACTTGTGATAATGTGAGAGTGAAACTTAATTTATTATAATGATAATYCAGTACATTATTTAAACAATAATATGCTTTCACTGCAAAGGAATGTTGTTAAGAGCAGATGTAACTGTATAATAGAAAGAAGAGAATGTGTGCATGCATATATACATGCATTAAAGACATCAGTGTAATGTGAAATACCTTCAAAAAAATATTATTATTATCACCTGAGCTAAAACACCATAAATAAGACTTATTCTTGGAAGAAGGGAATCCACACAAGTGGTGTGATCTGTTGTCATTATCCCAACTGTTAATTGGAATAATTCAGGAAATCTCTCTTTAAATTCCTTTACAATACCTTCCCAATTAAATTTTGAAAGGGAATCATATGAGGAAGTATCTTTTCTTTTTATCAAAGTAGACACAAACCCATGCTTAGTATTGTTCATGCCATTAATCTGTTCTCTTTCTTCTTTAACCACTTGATGTATRGCAATATTTTTAAACTTAGCATTTCCCATACAGGCTTTAACAAATTCTTGACATCCAAACTGCAAACTGTACAAAAATTGTTGTTGTTCTATAGTTGTAAAATGGATGCTTCCATCTTTGGCTGTACTTAGAGTTTCCAGAATTTCACTTGAAGTGGAAGTGGAC